CTATTGCAGCACTTCAAGTTACTCTCACCAAAATAACTGTGAAGATGCTGAACTTTTGTGCCATATATGGGCTGAACCAGGATTAAACCAGGACTGAACTGAGAACTAAACTAGGACTAAACCAGAGCTGAACCAGAGCTGAACCAGGTCTAATCTTGGATTAGGTCTTGGAATCTAGGACCACTCCTGAGAGAACCCTGAGCCCATGGAGCAGGGTGCCCGCAAAGCGCCATCGGGCGTCAGCTGGGCTTAGCCCTGTGGAGCGCCTGTCCTTTTGTCCTGACCTCCGGGGCTGTCCCGAGATTCGGGACAATGGTGTGTCACTGCTGCTGATATCACAGTGATTTTAGCGAATTTGTATGAAGAAAAATGAAAAAGCATTGTACACACATTTGTACCAAGTAAAATATTACATTTTTTTCCCCTGTAATGCTTTACATTACTGTATTACAGCAAAAAGCAATGCATTATAGTAATTTGTTACTTTTATAACGCGTTACTTCCAACACTGCAGTCACAAAATAGTTAACATTAGGCAACATTCACTTTCACCTTTTTTGTTGAAAATTAAACACCTGAACAGCACCATGAATGCTTGTATTGATTACAGGCTCCTGAAAATGAGTTGTTTAACTCATTTTTGTATAAATTTGTGTGGTTTTTTTCATGCAGTGTTTCACCATTGCAATGGCTGAACATTCCGCTAATCGAGATACATGTTGAACACCCCCCAGCATGATGTCACTGCAAAGTATAATTAGAAAACACCCAGGATTGAGATTACCTAATGTGTAACCATGGAAACTCACATTGATCCAAACAAACAAGTGGATGTGATTAATGATCTATAGTGTTTTTGACCTTTTTCATCCGATTTAACACCAAAATATCCCCACAGCAATATGATTAGTGTTGTTATGGAACTTTTCGGGTAGGGGGTCTGCCACTTGTCTGTGAACCATTTGCTTTGAGCAGTTCTCCATAATTTCCTGTTGACACTTAACAGCCTTGTCTTATCCATCTGAAATACCCGTCATCCCTCCAAGCTTTAGCAGCGATCACTGTGTGCAAGCAGGATTCCTAAAAAACACAAAATGCTCCTTTTTTCTTTCATTCCACAGTCAGAATTTGTTAGTTCGTTGTATATTAACTACCTCACTATGAATATTCCTGTTAATTTACCCCGGCGAGGTTTGTGATAATAAGCGCACCTGTTTCTCCAGCCTGGGGTCTCTCTCACACGTTTAGCCCATCCAGACTGCACAGTTTGAGGCTTGCTGTTGAGCCTGCTCCTGGCACTGGCCTCTCTCTCTCTCCATGTGAACTTGGAGCCAGAGCGATGCTATCTCTCCTCCCGTCACATCTTCATCCATCCTGCACCTCTCATCTTCCCGCTCTCCACTCTTCACTTGTTTGTTTTGGCAACGCTTAAGCCCAAAAGTGCATTGGAGACTCGGGCTTAGCTGGCACACCAAGAGACTCTTATTCCACCTGATGTCATCTACAAAACTTATGTCCTCACCTCTTCTCTGCTCCTTATACTTGTAGGGAATGTGAAATGATTTTATTAATATTTGAGCAAGGCAAAAGGCAAGTAGGCTAACCAAAAGATCTTGAAATAATGTGGGGGTTTTTTTGAGGCATAAAATTAATATTTCATAACTTGCATGGAGAGAAACTAAGGATACAGGTTGTAAAATGTACCATTACCTGAAAAGTATTTCTTATATTATATGTTGATACTTTGCAGCTGATGTGATGATGTTTCCTGTGAGGGTGAAGCTAACTAGGGGTACTGCTATGTCAGAAGCTCTTTTACTCAATGTAGACTTTAATTCAGGGGTCTCCAACCTTCTTCCTTCGGTGAGCTACTTTTACGAAACAAAAATGCCAGAGAGCTACCAGTTTTAGCAGTCACAAGAAATTTAATCAATGTAACTAAAGAGGGTAAGGCTTAAATGGGGCACAGTTAGATGCCTGTAAAATATAAACCATTATCTATTTATTCATTCATCTGACTTAGACTTAGACAACACTTTATTGATCCACAAGGGAAATTATTTGGACACAGTAGCTCACACATCAATAATAAATTCTAAATAAGTAGAAAACTAGAAAAGCACTCAGAGAGCGCAGACCTCCGCCAAGGACTACCCCCATTTTTTTATATAAATTGCGATAAAATCAGTCTTCTGGATCAGATCCGGATCAGCCTTTGGAATATGAAAGAGGATCCCATTGTCCATCCCTGAGTCAAATTTCATGGGGTTTGGTCAATAATTAACCGAGATATTGAGAAACAAAATTTTTGGCCCCATTTACCACAATGTTAACTAAAATTTCAAAGTGATCCAGAATCCAGGATTTCTTCCGTATCACCCCCAAAATGAAATCAGTTCTTCCTTTTCACATTTCCAACAAATCCTGAAAATTTCATCAAAGTCGGTCCATAACTTTTTGAGTTATGTTGCTAACAGACAAACAAACAAACAGACAAACGCCGGCAAAAACATAACCTCCTTGGCGGAGGTAAAGAGATAGCAAGAGACAGGTGTCAAATAAGACATAATTATATAAATGTATATGCACAAGTCAAAATAAAATAGAATTATTAGTGCACAAAGTTGAAAATGATACATTTCCCATGGCAATAGGAATTAAATTAATCAAACTAGTTATTAGCACAGTACATATAATTCAGAAATCTTTCAGCAAGCTATTTGGAAGGGGGTGGAGAGATACTGGTAGTTCCAGAGCTACAGGTTGGAGACCCCTGCTTTAATCTGATCTTTATTTTAACACAGTTTGACCGTAAAAATGTGCTTAGCTGGAATTAGAACCAAATTTTATAGTGTTAAAAAAGTCCATCTCAAATAACATTACAGTCACAAGTCCTCTCACCTTTTTTGTTGAAAATCAAACACCTTGTATTGATCAAAGGCTCCTGAAAAATGTGTTGTTTATTTCCTATTCTGGGACAATCTAAAAACTTATCAGGCTGTGTTTGCTAATGTGTGCATTGTGAGAATACTGTTGCACTGATGTTGACAATAACTGGTCTGACTGTTGGCCTTTGGAAAGATGAGGCTAATATTCTTTATGAGCACAATAAAGTCAGCGGTCAGCCGGGCCAACCACAGCCACACTCTTAATATGAATGGAAAATATATGAGTACATCCATACCTTTGTCACCCACTGCATCACACGTCAGCTCCTACTCCCCTCTGTATAACCTCATAACTCAATTGTCTTTGATTGAAGCCTCCTAAGTGCTATTGACGCCATGGTTCAGCTCCCAAAAATAAGTCAAGAAATGCTATTTATTTTGATTCCATTTCTTTCCAAAACAATTACACATTTTAGATTTTAGTGCTATGTCTGTATGTGATCTATAAGGCAAAAAAATATATTGCATTTCTTATTGAGAGCGTCAATCTTTCAGCTTCTATTCATTCTGGGGATATGGGTTTTGCTTGTGTGTTGACAGATGTGTGAAGAAAAAGAAGCTGACATATCGTAATGCAAAAGATGGATGCTGGTATTTTTATAGGCGTCTTAAAATCGCAGGTGTGATCTGTGACAAAGCGTGCCTCACCATACTGCTGCACGCTAACCACATAAAGTGAATTCAGCGCGCATCTGCTGTTTGTCAATATAAATCACGGCGTTTCAAACAGTTAATGATTTAGCAATTAATCACTCCTAATGAGCTCAATATGTTTAATTTAACGCAATGATAAAAGCCTCTGTTTTCACCTGAGTTTCACTTTTCTCAGGCTAATGTGAGTTTGCTTCACTCCTTCCTGTTATAGCCTATAAGGTATAGAGTGGTATTAGTGAAATGTATGGATTTTGATTATTCTTGAGACTCATGACAGCACCCAACAATGAAACTAGACTTGACTACCAGCGAAGTCTTTGTGTATAATGTCAGCATAAGGCAGTATTTATTTTAGTTACTCCGTGTACCTTTTGTTGATCCGCCACTTGCTTGTCTCCATGGCATTTTACAGTTTAGATCTGTAGAAAGGCTTCCCACTCACATTGTGTGTTTTTCAAGGTAATTTCTTTAATCTATAGATTAATAATAATAATAATAATAATAATAATCTATAGATAATGTAAGACAGATAAATTTAATACATGGACCAACATACTGTTCATTTAATGCAACACTTTGGAACATTCCAGGCATAGAAACAATATCTCCATGGAGACGAGCAGATTGCAGACTCCCCAACAAAAAAGTTACATAGTGTGGTAATAGGTGGCAAGACAGTGCATTTCTCCAGGAGCTTCTCGGACAAGTTCATGTTGTTTTCACTGTAGCTTAGTGTATTGTACATTTTTTTATAATTATGCCTTATTTGAGTAGCCAGGCTGGCGCCACCTAGTGCCTCCGCTCAATTTCATTTCTCCCCACCGACTACGTCAGGAATTGGAATAAACTACATGGTTTGCAACGACCCTAGAAGTGTGAGTCCAGGCACCAGCCAATCAGTGAATAGCCATACATTCTGGGTTGGAAACAATTCCCAAGAATTTAAAGCTGGAACAAAGAGAATGTTTGGTTAATTTTATCAAGGGGAAAGAAGTTATTGCTCTTCTTCATATGGGATTTGGATAAAGCTTAATATACCAGTTAGTCCCGTTAGCGGCGCATTACATACATCACGACCAAATAGCAGCGAATGGTTAAATAGAAAAGTACCCTCGTACCATCGAGCAAACGAATCCTAATGCAGACAGTTTCCACGAAGTGAAACCGACTGATGAATCAGGCTATTATTTGACATCAATCTCTTGTTATTTTTGCTACTCATTTTGAATTTCTTTTTATCATTCATATGTTTGCTTATTGTTATTGTATTATTATATTGTGATGAGTGAGCTACTGTGTCCAAATAATTGTGGATACACGTCTAAGTCATATGTTACATCAGAGTTTCAAACAGTCTATTTCTGTATAATTGAGCAGTTCTTTGTGTTGTCTCCACAGACGGGACCCCCTACACATGGTGGGTGGGCCGAGGCAGTGAGAAGCACTTCTACTGGGGCGGCTCTGGGCCTGGGATCCAGAAATGTGCCTGTGGGATCGACAGGAACTGCACCGACCCCAAGTACGACTGCAACTGTGATGCAGACCACAAGCAATGGTGAGTCAGACTGCTACTAAACTCATGCTTTTACTGAAGATCAATACACCAGTCTGGTCCTATTGTTGTAAAGTCTTATGAAACAATCTTATGTGAATATTACTCACTGTCCAGTCAAGTTTGTCACTTTACTTTAGGCTTTAGTAATGTTAGACTGATAATATTAATACCTCTCTTTTATTTTTTTAATTTTGAATACAATTTGACCAAGTTACAACCTTGTAAAAAAGAAACATGGGTATAAATTGTTTGGGAGTAGAAGTAGTAGTTGTAATACTAGCTGTTCTTGGGGATTTAAGAGAATGGCTTTCAACATTAGCAGAACTGAGTGTATATTTATGAGTACCTGTTATCATTGGCATTATTAAATCTGCCATTAAACTACAAAAAATCACCACTGCTCGCTCTTCCAATCCACCTTATTCTTATATTACTCCCATATACAGTCATATGTTTTTGATTTGTCTCATTTTATTGATTGATTGTTGTTACTGCATTTAAAAAAAACAGTATAGTAGCCGCCCAACAATCATTATCTACATATGGTACATTCTTTCAGTAATACATGATTTGTGGCATAAAATGAAGCCACCTGTAATGTCCATACCACTTCATGGGCACATTTTGAAGAGGGTCTTAATGTGTTCAAATGTCCAGCCTTTCTGTATAATTGGTCACACTGACATGTTTCTACAATTAAAAGGGAAGAGACTCACACCAAAAAACTGCAACATTTATTTAAAGACGCGCTCGCCTGCAGAACAGTTTGTGCTTCAGAGCCTTTTAAGCTTCTGATGGATATTGTCATTAAAGTAGCTGTTGTGTTGTGTGCATGTGTGTAACTGTGTGTAACTGTGTGTGACTGTGTGTGTATGAGTGATGGTGCATATTAGAGAAGACTGAGTTTATCCTTGTCTGTGAAAATGATGTGATTATAAACCATTCGTGTTCGCTCTAAAATAAATGTTTTTTTCTTGCTTGGATCAGTATGTTTTAGAAGTATAAATATCTTTTCAATTGTTAACCACGCAGTACATGAAAGTGAGATAACCAATCACACAATCTCAGATTCATCATACTGCATCACTGTGGTAACTATAGTCTTTGTCATCAAAATTTCAAACTTCAAAACTAAAATATGTACTATAGCATTAATGGAAAAGTGGATTTTAATAGTAGTAATAGTAGCAGTACTTTTGGTATTAGTTGTTATAGTAGCAGTATTATTAGTTGTTGCAGCATCCTTAGTAGTAATAGTATTAATAGTAGCAGTAATAGTAGTAGTAGTGATGGTGGTAGTAGCGGTAGTGGTAGCAGTAGTAATAGTCATAACAATGCTACTAGTTGTAGCTATGTTACAGTGACTATAACATCAGTTCCTTTTGTAAGCTTAGCAGTATTTGAAGGGTTGTAGTGCTTGTAGTACAGCTAAAATGAGTATGAAGGATGACTATGTTGTGATAATTATGGAATTAAATGCTTTTGCTTTAAGTTGTTTTGTTGTTATTTTACCGTAATAAACACTTTCTCCACTGTATGTCTGTATAGGAGAGAAGACTCAGGCCTATTGGTTTATAAGGACCACCTGCCGGTCAGCCAGGTTGCTGTGGGTGACACAAACAGACATGGATCGGAGGCCAAGCTCACCGTGGGACCGCTACGATGCCAGGGAGACAGTAAGTGAGGCGTATACATCCATATGTACCGGGAGAGGGGGTGAGGACATTTGGCAACTTGGCAAGGATTAACTCAAAACAAGAACAACAGCAACTATTGAATAATGTCCTTTATTTGTCAGTTTTTTCACATGTACATGTACATACAAAGGAATCGAAACTGGACTTGTCACCCTTATAACATTATACGTACATTATAAGCATAAAATACAATTCATGGGGAGACTACGTGGATCGGACCAGAAGACAGGTGGCTGATAGGAATAAACAGTGCAGCATATCATGAGGATGGGGGAGGAGAAAAAAAAGACAGCCCCAGACCATGCCCCTGTTGTGCTCAGGTGAAAAAATGTTACCACCTTCCTAACCCTCCTCAGGAGTCGGGATACTTACTTTAGTGAGATTGTGCTCTTGGCTGCAAGGTTAGGGCCTGGCTCCACTGCACTCGTCAGCGTTTACGCACATAACCTCGCAAAACCACAGCCGTGCATCAACTCAAAGGCGGCTCCACCAGCAACTGCAGGAGGATGTACATACGCAGCACTGGCTCTGTGTTTGTCAATGGGAAAGCCGATCAAACTTGATTGGGTGTGTTTAGCCACTTGTATCAGGTCCACAGTGAAACTAACAGCTGAACAGGCTTGTATTACCTTCGGTACAGGCTGCCCATGGCAAATGCGAGGATTTCAAAAGTAAATTTTAAAGCACTTATTAACAGTGTTTCTAGACCTGGGCTCTTTCACAAGAACACAGAACTGCCCCGGGAGTAAACGCACAAATACAACCAGAGATTCATGCTCTCTGTGTATTATGATGGGGATACGTCAAAAAATAGGATGGATCCTTTTTTCTGAAATCTGCATGCACAGGACACACTGCTCCATACACGCATCTAGCATGCATTCTAAAAGTTACGCGTCCAAAAGTTGCAATTTTTACGCTTTTTTACATGCCCAGTCAAGTTTGATCAGCTTTCCCATTGACAAACACAGAGCCAGTGCTGCGCTTGTACGTCCTGCCGCAGCTGCCGGTGGGGCACAGCTGTGGTTTCGCAAGAGGCATCCTCCATCTCCGGGCGGCCATCTTCTCTCCTACTTGCCATTTCTACACGTAACGCGCAGCACCAACCCTCCACACCTCTTCTTTTGTACCAAAGCAAAACAGGTCACATATGGGCACAAGGTTACAATGCGCAAGCCGGGAACTGTGGAAACCGTACGGTACGCAAACTTCCCGAACCGTGACAAGTGAACCGAACAGTTCTTTTTTTTTTCATGAACCGTGCCACTCCTAGCTGGCATGTGTTTTGCATATGAATTTTGACATCTAAAACCTTAAACATGAATAACTATCATAGACATTTAAGAGAACAGAAAACAAGAGCACAGGTAAATTTTTGTTATTTTTGTTTTATTTTTTAATAATGCAAAGGGTAATGGGTAATGTTTGGGGCAGCTTTACTCAGCCCTGAAATTGCTAATCTGTACTGAACAAAAGGTAAAAAAGTATTAACTGTTAACTATTAACTATTAACTTGAAAACTACCACTACATGGCATCACAAGGTGGAAAAGGCTAGACAGAGTGACAACAGTTATTCAAATATGTGTAAATAAAATCACACACAACTTCAGGTATGTTTTTGAGGCTTAAAATTCACAGGAATCCATTTTGTGTAATATAGGACCTTAAATTATAAAAGACTTTATGATTTTATTTTATTCGGTGGAGGTATGACCTAAAACTGTAAAACCTTTCAAGTCTTTTTTTTTCAGTGTACAGTGATTTAAATAATCTTTAGCTAGTGTCCTGATTCATAATCCTCTACATTATCAGTGAATTAACACTAGCTTACATCTGCGGATAGCCTCACCATGATTGTGTGTAATCTTCCTCATTATTGGAGGTGGAGTAGACTTCCCATGAGCTCCGATAGGTCACGGCGAAGTCCCCTTTGCCTTTGGGGTGTTCAGGTGCGCACCAAATGTGGGGAATAAAAAGGTTGATAATGTAACCAGGGGCAAATTCACAGTGCACTTTCAAATTATCACTAGGATCTTAAAAAGAGCCAGTGTGCTTATAGGCAGCTGGCTTCAGGATAATGAAAAGTGCTATGGGTTTGCTGCAGGTGCAAAAGAGAGGTTTGAGAGAGGCGGGAGCTCTGGCCTAATTGAGAGGAAATATGTCCGATAATGACCTTCTAGCTGTGAGGGGCCCAGAATAATTCTCAGCTGGTTGTAGGAGTGCTGCAGAGGTGTAACCTTTTTTGGATGGCTCATCAAAGGCTGTATCAAAAGAACTGCTCCAGTCTGTGTGATGGAGCTCTTAGCACAAACCCCTTGTTGACAGCAGGGGTGGGCTTTGGTTGGTGAGGGGCAGCAAAAGGACATGTCGGACTGTGATGTTAAGCAGTATGGAGAGCACTTGAGACTAAAAAGTTAATGGTGATGAGCATTGCTTCAGGCACATTACAAACATCAATAAAAGTGAGATTTTTGTACCCGTTACTTTAAAGGTGCACTTTGTAACTTTTCTGGTGGAGGGTCCCCCTCCTGTTTGTCTCCTTAGAGAAGATGGTACTACTTTGAATCGATTATTTGACAGTATGAAAATAAACTTGGTTATCATAATGAAGACATGTTAATGGTCAGATCTATGGAGAAGCAAGCCTGCACGTAGTGAGAATTCATGTGTTTCAATGCATTACTGAGCTTTTAAATAAACTGTAATTGAATAAATACAAGGCAGATGTGTTTAAGGCCCTACTGTGGAACATTCCATGCAAAGAAATAACATCTCCTTGGAGACAAGCAAGTAGCAGACCCTCCAATGAATACTGAAATACATGCATTCTTACTGTGAGTGAGATCACCTCTCCATAGATCTTGCCCATAACTTAACTTCGCGTCGCATGCTTATTTTTATGGAAATGGCCACATTCCAGGTAAAGCAATAACATCTCCATGGAGACAAGCATTGAGAGCATCCTCCATCTGAAAAGTTACACAGTGCACCAATTGCAGTAATGTTTTCAAAATTTTCTATAAAAGCAATTATATTGTATAAAACTGATACAGCTTTAATTTATCAGAGCAGACAAAGTTTGCACTATAGTTAGGTCAGAATTGCAGATTTAGTTTTCAACATAGTGCTGCCTAAATTGTCTGACAATATGGCATTGCAACGTTGCAACAAATAAAGGTGAAATAAATAAGAGAGCTGCAGTACATTACTACCTATTTTTATAAGTGGTCTATAGAAAAATCACTGTAATCCCACTGGGCCTTGGTCACCAATTCACCTTAGCACCATAAAGCAAGATGAAAACTTACTCCAAATGGGTTAGAATTAGCTTTGAGAATATTGGATTCTCAATAACCCTTGATAAGAAATAATCCACTGAGTAATGTGGTTAACTTTGGCCTATGTGCTGCTCTATAGCCCCTAAAAGATGTATCCTCTTTTACTTCCTCCTTCACTCTGCGCCACAAAATGCCTCTCATTTTCTGTGGTGAAAGAAAAGTTATTACAGAAAATGTCAGCAGAGGTTTTCTATCGCGGAAATGCTCTGTTTGCCAGAGAGCTGATTTGAATAAACTGGATAACTTAAAAAGAGTATTAGTCTTGCTGGAATGATTGCTGGCTACATGCACAAGTCTCCTCTTGACACATGAATTGGTAGTATTAGGAGCGAAGTGCGGTGAGTACAAATCACTTCAGCTCTGCCAAGATTGGAAAAAGTTCTTATTTTTTCCTATTTGTATTGTATGTTCCTTCTCTTTTGTACAACTAGAAAAAGTAGGACCATTTTTAATTAATCTCCTGACACACATATAACACTGGGCTGCTATCTGAACACTGGGAGGAAAACTCACTCGGAATGAAAGTCTTTTGCCGTTTTGTAATTATTGAACAATATTAAAATAGTTTTTAAATATAGTAATAATTATGTATTACAAAATCCCAGCACTTCTAACAGATAGTGTGTTATTTTGTAATACTAATCTTGCTGTCTAAATGTGTATAATGTATTTACTGTATTATCCAAACTCTGTAATGAAACAATTCTTTTACTTAGTCAAATTAGTTTGAAATAACATTTTAATTGCATTGTTGCTGGCTTTTGAGTTTGAAAATAACTCTTCAGACTTATGTAGTGCAGATAATTCAGAAAAACAGTTCTTTATCTCCATGTTTCTTTGACTACAAAAAATGAAATTGTATATTTTCCTTTGACAGGGTCTATTTGCGCATATGGGGTTGTATGCGCTGAGATAAGAACCACATTCTCAGACATCTCTGTTTTTTATTTGTCTATAAGGTCCTATAGCTTTTGTTGCTTTCAAGGTAAACAAACTTTAGCAGAGAACACACACACACACATTGTTATTTAATATAATCAGAAAAACTTGTGTATAATGTAAACTTAGAGCCTACTGGACTCCACTTTCACTAAACTTTTGTGAACTTTTATGACCAATGTGCGTGTTTTATTTAGAGAGAGATACTTTATTTATCCATTATTTCCTCCACTGGTTTAATACAAATTACACATAGGCTCTAACTTCTTCCTTTTAGGGGTTGGGTGTAGTAGTTGGTAGCTCTTATAGCCCCAGGCCTGCACTTCTCTGACTTGTTTTGTGTTTGTTTTAATTTCTTTTGCTGTCCCTCCTGATTTCTGCTGTGAGAGCCTGTATTTTCTACACCAGGCCAACCCTGCTTCACCTGTAGCCGCCTCCCATATTTAAGAAGATCCCCAACACCTTTTCGCCTTTCCCAAAACCTTTCGCCTTTGTGGCCAGTGTGCCAATTAGTGTCTGTCTCTCTTTTGTGTTAGTCAATTTGTGTAATTCAAGTGTTTACTGACTTACTGAGACACTTGTTTACTGTTTATTTGTGCTTTATGTGTCTCTCGTTATAATTTGTCACTCGATTCTGTTTGTGGGCCTACGTGACTCGTTTGTATTGAGACACTTGTAGCTTTTATGGTTTTGTAGTTCA